TTTTCGCTTGAGCCACCATCATGAAAAATTGCTGCAAAAATGTCTGGTGTAGATATGTTGGCAAGCATTTATATTGTGTAATACCAAAAAATATAAAAAACTTATTTTGTCATCCTTGCTCAAAGATCTTTTTATAGATAGTTATAACAATAAATATATTTGTACTAGGTATCACAATAGACCTATCCCATAAAACAGACTTTTGGATAGCGCGTGCCTGAAGAAGAGTGGTATCTCTTTCTCTTTTATATAATTAAAAAAGACGACGTGCCTTTTCACGCAAGCGCTATCCAAAAGTCCGTTTTATGGGATAGGTCTATTATTTACAACTTTTTAATAAAAAATCGATTTTTTACAAAACAATTGTAAAGAATAGTTAAAAACTCAATTTTGGTTAAAAACCACATCATATTCCTGTACCTGATAAAATAACAGCAATAATTAAAACTATGAACGATCCTGAGAAGAGACCAACTTTAAAAGTAGTCCAAGGTGATTGTTGTTCACCTAAAGGTGGAACTCTTAACCTTTTCATGGCCCTTTGTCTATCTCCTGCCTCTAATTCATTGGTTACTAAATTCTCAGTGTCAGTTATCAATTTATCTATATCTTTGTTTATATAAAAGTGTGAGGTTTCTACATGCTCTGTCCTCCATGTTGCTCCTAAATCTGTTGATAGTAACTAAAAAATATCAAAGTTATTTAATGCAAGAACTGAAAATACAATATAAATACTTTATCATGTTTTTTAAGTATTTTCCTAAACCCTGTATGATTTAAAGTCTGATAGTTTTGCAGTAAAATTAAACTTAAATAAAATTCGCTGAAAGCCAATTTAAGATCTTGCAACTTTCTTGCGGGAATATGTTTTCTGCTTTCTTCTTTTTTCTTTCCCATTCTCAACTGATCAAGAGATACTTTTAATTCGCTATTTAAGTTTGCATACTTTCTTGTGGCTTCTGCTAGCTTTTCTGCGTAGAATGTGTTGATTTTTTTTAGTTCCTTGTCGCTGTAGTGGAAAAATTGTTCGTCGAAGTTCGTAAAGTGTCGTTTTACCACTTCGGGCTCTACGCTTTCCGAAGATGGAGCCTCTTCCACCGCAAGGTAGAGCATGGCTTTCATCTCCTAAAATTATTGAAGAAATAAATACTCATTTTAATTTAATTTTCACCAAATTTTTTTCAGTAAAATAATTATTATAAAATAACAAATCAAATACGGACAGAATTTATTATATTTTGGAATCAAAATTGTCACAAATATTCTTCCTTTATTATCTCTCTATAAAATATTACTTGCATTTTTTAAATTAAATGTATAGCCCACCATCTATATAAGACCCTGGTTTAGCCTAAAAATAATGATATTATAATTACAGAATAATTTTGATGCCAAAATAATATATAATAAATTACACAATTCTTTTTTTAATAAAATCAGTTTTGTGATTTGTCTCGTCAGCATGTTTATTGCTTCTTGTGTCGATTCTATAATAGTAGAGGATTAGGAAACTGTTTATAGCTCTGTTAGACTCGCAACATTTTTTTGAGAATATACCCTAGGATCAAACAGATCCAATTTTCGACGTTTTCATCCCAATTAATTATAATATAATTATAATAATTATGTTAAACAGTAATATAATAAATAATATAATATAATAATTATGTTAAACATTGTAATTTCTAGCTCTGTTTAACTCGCAAAAGTCCTAGGATCGAACAGATCAAATTTTTGATGTTTTCACCCCAATTACAGTTTTGTGTTGAACAGTGTAATTTCTACTACAAATTCCCTTAGTCCGACCCTGTCCAGCGCAGTTATTTTTAAGATCAATTTTTTGTAATCTGCATTCTCGTATTTTTACACTATTTATCACGTGTTTGTGTATCTGATTTTTACAGATTAAATATGTATTTGTAACAAATTAGGTATTGAAGTCATAATAATAATAATAAAATTGTGTAAATGTTAATTCTCCCAAAAACGTCAAATTCCCAGCCTACTGTGGTAAAATATTTTTATGCAAACAAGTTGCCCAAAACACATTAGGACCAAGTGCACAATCAATATGGAATTTTCCGTAATACACAAAGAACATTAATCCTAACCTCAAAACAAAACTGCTTACAAAATAAAATGTTTACTTGCCTCGTAATTTATGTATTGTTTTCTCCATTCTGGCGTTATGTGTGCTGTTAAATGTTCAGCGAACTTCATCTTTTAACATCGGAACAAACGCGTAAAATGTAGTGAATTTATCAGTGCATTAATTACCACCAAGTACACGATTTGCTCACAAGACAATTAACCAAACAGTTGAATGTATTCGAATGTATTCGAGAGTATAAATCATAGTTAAATCTATTTGCCGATAATGCGTTTTAACCTGCCGCTGATTAAATAGGCACTAGCTAAATATAATTAAGCATACTACCTGTAGGTAGTTTGTTTAAATATTTGTGAGTAATAAATACGAGGTACTAATGAAATTATTATAACTTATCGTGTTTTATAAATCACAGGCACGCGAAAAATTTATTATCGTCACTTCTGTGATTTAATATTATTTAGAGGTGGGCTGTTCGATACGATACGTATCGATACAAGTGATACGAACGGGATATCGTTGGAATCGATATAAATTTATGTATCGAATACATTGTATCGATTATTTAGCTAATTATGAAAAGTCCTTAAAATGCCATATATGAAAATTTGATTTTGCGGTTATACCGTATTTTTAATAACCGAAATTTTGGAAATTTGTTTGATCAAGGCTGACAGTTGGTATTGCAGCTGACTTTTAAGTGGCTATCACAAAACTAGTTTTGACTTTGGTTTGGTACTTTTTCTCACAATCCACACAACAAATGTTGCGTGGATTGTCCTTTTTCTATGGTTTGGTTGGTTTGCAACTGACGTTAAAGTTATTTCAAGTTCTTTAAAGTTTACATTGTAAACAATTGCGAAACAAATTGCAAATTTTCATATACCTATATTTTTTTTCGTTACCTTCCTAATAATTAAATTCATTTAATAAAAGTTTTTATTTTTTTTTCATTTGTTAAATATAACCGCATCGAATCGAAATTGTATCGATATAAGCGATATTTTGAAAATTATATCGATATCGTATCGATACGGCTTCTGTATCGAACAGCCCACCTCTAATATTATTATTTATTAGTAATTGTGGTTATAACCTATTGTGGTTATAACCTGATGAATATACCGAGAGGTTGACGTGGATAAATATATTTATTCTATAAATAGGTATATTTATCAACGTCATTAAATTAAAAAGGATTTTCCAATATTGTATATATACCTACGCGTTAAACGTATAATATATATATATATAATAATAATATATGCATATACATGTATATACATTAGGGTGTCCCTTATTTTTTATTTTTTTACGCATACCCTCTAATTATATTTATTACGTGTTTATATACTCCCAGTAAAAATTTCAGCTCATTCTATAAACGGGAACCCGTGCCGACTTGCATCTGAACCCTCCGTGAGCCAACGTTAGGCGCGCGGTATTTTGTAACACGGTTGGCCGCGAGGTCTTCGATCGTAAGTCATTTTGTGTTTGTTATTATGTGACCCTTATATTATAAATTATTGACAAATGTTAAAATATAGATTTATTTATGTGTATACTTTGATAAAAATGTATATTTTCACAGGGAGTGGCTAGTTACCCGGAAGAGTCTAGTGAATATGCCGTAAACTCTGAAATTGATAAACTTAATGGGATTTACTCTAAATAACTAAAAGAGTCTATTGTGAGAGATGACTACCGAAAACTTATTGAACTGTCCTAAATATTTTTGGGAGGACATCAAGAAAAGAAATGCTTATAAAAAGCTGAAATTTCATATAACAGTATATTTTAGCAATACTAATTAGAATATTAATATATTTAAGGGATAAAATCAACTAATTTTTTTTTGGTTATTTTTTAGCTGTCATTCAGATATAATAAAAAAAAGAGTTTCGGGTAATTAGTTTTACGTCCTATTTACCCGACACTTCTGGGTAACTAGCCACTTCCTGTAAAAATATTCATTTTTATTAAAGTATACACATAAATAAAACTATATTTTAACATTTTTTATTAATTTATAATATAAGGGTCACATAATAACAAACACAAAATGACTTACGATCGAAGACCTAGTGGCCAACCGTGTTACAAAATACCGCGCCTAACGTTGGCTAATGGAGGGTTCAGATGCAAGTCGGCACGGGTTCCCGTTTATAGAATGAGCTGAAATTTTTACTGGGAGTATATAAACACGTAATAAATATAATTAGAGGGTATGCGTAAAAAAATTAAAAATAAGGGACACCCTAATAAACATAAATAAAACTATATCTTAACATTTTTTAATAATTTATAATATAAGGGTCACATAATAACAAACACAAAATGACTTACGATCGAAGACCTAGCGGCCAACCGTGTTACAAAATACCGCGCGCCTAACGTAGGCTAATGCATTAGCCATGGAGGGTTCAGATGCAAGTCGGCACGGGTTCCCGTTTATAGAATGAGCTGAAATTTTTACTGGGAGTATATAAACACGTAATAAATATAATTAGAGGGTATGCGTAAAAAAATAAAAAATAAGGGACACCCTAATATACATATATTATTATTATTTTTATATATATAATATACTATAACTCCATAATAAAAGTAACACTATACGTACGGTAGTCAGGAAAGTAAAAAAAATGTGCTTGCTTTGTTCCGGAGATACAGCCCTACTATAGTATATATATATATATAAAGGGCTATATATAGCTCTATAGGGCTGCCATATGGTCGTTTTTATTTTTGTTGTTTTATTTATTATTAAGTGTAACTAATAAAACATAAATTATATTGTAGTTTTATCTGAGCCCATATTAATATTAAATAACTTCTATAATAAATAGAGAAAAGAGAAACGCATGGTGTCTAATATTTTTCATTACAGCCCTGTCCACAGTTGGCAATGGTTTGACAGCTGAGCTCATGGTTTTTGCGTTTCTGTTGGCAACAGCACTTTATGTAATAGACCTGCCATTTCGCTTATCTGAAAAATTAAGAAATAAGTTTTAAAGTGTAAATTCGCAAATTAAATATCCAAGATGACTGCCTGGAGAACCGCTGGACTCAAGTACGTATAAAAATCTTGATATATTAGTGGATTTTTAGACCAATTAGGGCCGGACAAAAGTCCAAATTTAACAAAAGTGGCTACAATATTAATGGTAAAAACCAAATCTATCGTTGAGACTAATAAGTAATTTTTTGCCATTAGATTACAGTCTGCAATCATAAGTTTCATAATCTGCAATAGGTACCTATAGGTTTAAATTTTACTAGTGCAGGGTTGTAATGGTGGATTTTGCAGCACAAATTAACATTAAAATTAACATTAAAATTAACATTAAGCAAAATATGTGATTTAGATCAATATCACTGTCTATATAAGACACGATCTGAGAAAAGGGATCTAGTATCCAAAATCAAGTTTTACAGTGAGAAGTTCACGTGGCATAGGCGTTTGTTTAGTAACATTCAACTTCAACTAAAAATTAATAGCAATGTCAATTTTTAAATAGACAAATTCTATCTGGACCTTTTGAAAGATTGTTAATCTCGAAAATCAGTTTTTGGACACCAGGTCCCTTTTCTCGGATCGCGTCACAAAAATAGGGGTATTTATAAAAGCAAAAAATTACAAAAATCTGGTGAGTAGGCTGTAATTTTATTCAGTTGATATGAATGATATCTAAAAATTGTCTAGGCAGCTGATGTTTACAGGGTTAACAGAAATATTTGTGTAAAAAAATCAAAATATATTTTAACTTTTCATTTCCCTGGTGCTGTTCTAAGAAGTGATTTTCAGACTTTTTGCCAACTTTTTTTTTGTGATATTCTATTTATTTATGATTTAACTAAGAATTTAAAAGCTAAATAAAAAAAATCCCCCAAAATTTTTATTAAAAATACCATCCACCTAAAACTTTTAAATTCATTTATATATGGGCAAAACGTTTAATTCATTTCAAAGATTATTTAATTTTCTTAAAAAAATGGTTTTTGCTACTTTGAAATCTAAAAATGTATAGAACTCTAAAAACATAAAAATGTATAGGATGCCATGAGTTGGTAATTTGAGTGTATTTATTTAATATTAAAAAAAAAGAAAATATTTTAATTGGTGGAGTGAAGCAAATGGTGATAAAGCAAACGGTAATAAAGCAAATGGTAATGAAGCAAAATTAAGTATTTACCAAAACTATTGTAATTTACCAATTATTGAAGATAGAAATGTCGCCGATAGACTAGTGGTCAGTGCTACAGACTACAAGCCGAGAGGTTGTGGGTTCGAGTCCCACATTGGTATGGTTGTTTATTTGTGTTTGTCCTATTGTGTATTAGCCCTTCGGAGGGGGGGTCCGTTCCTACTCCTAACCCACACAAGCCATTCAGTTGGCTTCTGGGACTTCTTAGGAAGTAAGGATGGAACTAAAAGAGCACTTTTGTAGCCCTACCTCCTAAACTTTCATTAGGTGCAGTTACAACAATTTTTAACTCACTACATATAAAATTTCCCAACAACAAATATATGAATATATAAAAAATTATAAAAGGCTCTGGATGTTCTTTTAATGTAAGTCTTAAATTATTACAAAATATTGACTACCTGAGAATCAAATGTTGTAAATGTGTGTTTTGGTAATAAATATAAAATATTTTGTAGAAATAAATAATTTTGATTTTGTTGATATAAAAATAAGAATAATTCCCAAAATTCATGCCATTATCTATCATGTTTCTGAATGTTTACAAATGCACGGGTATAGATAAGAAAGTTATTCTGACCACGCATTTGAAGCTGTCCACAGTGTGGACTCCACACAGACTGGAATGCTTTTTGGTTTGTTACAAGTTGGTTAAAGAATATTCAGAGTATCATAAACGCTTAGTTGCGGCTATTATAGAATAAAATTTATAATTTCATGTTTAGGTTGAGTAAAAAGTTTGTTTTTAAGAATTGTTTTAATTTTAATAAACTAGATTTTGGTTTAAAAAAAAATACTTTTAAAAAACCTAAATGACATTGAAAGTCAAATAAATACATCCAAATTAAAATTTCATAGCTACCTTGGATACATTTTAAATAAAGAAAACAAACATTTAAAAGTTAATTAAAAAAAACTAAACATGGGAATTTTTATTTTTCTCTTGAATACACAAGTTTCACTAAAAGTATAAAAATCAGTTCTCAGAACCGCACCATGTTTTAGATGTCTTTAAAAATTGTTTGCTGTTTTCAAACAGTTTTAAAACGCGTTAGCGCTTCATTTTTGGGACCCCTGTAATACAGGGACTGTATAAGCTAGATATAACTGTCTCAAGAATGTCTACATAAGCAACATTATGTAGCCTACATAGAAATAAAGGCGGCTGCACAATTACACGGGAACGCTAACGAAAACGAGAACGGAAACTAAAACGAAAACGAGAAGATTCACAATTAACATAATTATTTTAATTCTTAGGTTAATATATTTTGGGGATATTTAATTTATTTGGTATTTATAGTAGAAATATACGTATGATCATACTGCAGATGTTCAGCTATTAAAAGCTAACTATTTTTCTTTAATAATTAATCTTTATACTCTTTTAACAGGCGATCGTACAAATGTGGGAACTTTTTTACTAATAAAATAATTAATTCGTCGTTCATTTTCATTAATTTTTTAACACAGAACGTATTGATAAAACAAATAGCGCGAATGTCAGAAATAATTTGACAGATTAAACTCATTTTCTATTGGTTTCGACAATGCTGCGTTTCTATTGGCTACCGGGAACGAGAAACTTAAAACTTAACCAACTTTCTCGTTTCCGTTCGCGGGATGTTTCTCGTTCTCGTTACCGAAAATTTGTTGTGCATGTGTACATTGACTTATGTGCGTTTAATTTTTTTCTCGTTACCGTTCTCATTTTCGTTTCCGTTCCCGAGTAATTGTGCAGCCGCCTTAACTTTTTTAAGAATGTTCACTTAAGCTAGATACAAGTATTTAGTTTGATTTCATTGTTTTTCAATGGTGACGACAAAAAATATGGAATTCTTTTTATTTTTTTTTCAACAGCTACATCAACTATTCCAACATTGCTGCCAAGTTGGTAAGGCAAGCATTGAAACCTGAATTTAGAGCTGATGCTGCTAAAAGGGGTGACTCACATCTAAAAGTAACCAAATGGGCAGATGGCAAGCCAATCAGTAAGTAGTATTTCTGTCTCTATTAAAGCAAATGTTTATATCCACTTTTATACAATAATCATGTTATTGTGTAATTACAGGTGCTAGGGAATAAGTAAGTTAGGTTTGATCAAGTGGTTTTAATACGTTTTGCTATTTTAAAACTAATCAATGTTTTTCTTATGAAATATTAATATTAAAATTTTGACAGTGTTTGCATCATACTAATGAATTAATTAATAATTAATATTATCCTACTAATTTTATTTTATTATTTTCAGGAGCTCCACAGTCGGTTTAAGTTTATAGTTTATGTTGTTTAATTAATCTGTTGTAATTAATAAAAGTCAAATAAAATTATGTAAAACATTGGTTTTATTTTTACCCCCAAGGTATAAAAAGACATTTTTTAGTTATAATAATTTATTTTTTTACGTAAGTATATGGATATTTCAACAATAAAAAATTGACATATACATTGAATCTATCACACACACAGACCTACAAACAAGTTTGTAGGTCTGTGATCACACATATTTTTTTCTAAGTTGTTACCACCTTTAAAATATTAAAAGTGAAGTAACCAGGCAACAGGGATAAAATGATGTCAAGAACCACAATATTAAATACAATATACAATATTAAATTTTAATAGTGGCTTTTTTAAAACCTACACCCCATGCAAACTGTCTAGATTTATTAAGTTTACTAAATTGTCTAATTTAATTTTTTTAATTTATTATTGTTATACATTCTGAAATCCAATTGGTTACTTTATACTGTTGCAAATAAATATACCTTAACCTTGTCAAAATATAAATAAATCATTTACTTCAGTTTATTTTAAACAATAAACATCAAAACAAATGGGATATTTATTACAATGGCAAGTAAGCAAAATCACAAAATAATACTGAAAACACTATACAGAAAAAAATTAAATGGCAACAACTTTGAAATTGCATTATAAAAAATGGAATGTTTAGTAAAGTTATAGCTGCATAAAAATCACAATTACAGTTTGATAAATACTTAATTAAAAACGATGTTAACATACTGACCATTCAAGGTGAATATAAAATTGTAGTAAAATATAAAATTAATTCGCAATTTTATGCTTTTCAGTAGCATTTTCGCTTCTATCCAAAGTGATAGTAAACGAAAACGTCATTTAAAAGGTCGGCCCTCAGATGAACTATTATCAAAACCTTTTCAGATATATTTACCTACATATAAAGTACAAAATAAATTAATTAAAAACTGAAATGACCAGGAAAAAATTTTATCTGCAGGCGTAAACTATAAAAGCAAAAATCACGAATATATAACATTAAATTTAAAATTCGCCTTATCCTGTAAGTTTAAGGTTCAGTCAGTGTACACATCTTAATAGGTTATAACAGTCCTTACCCAATCCTAATAAGTATTACAAATCGTTAAACACCATCAATATAACTTACTCTTAAATATGCCGTGCTTCAAACATTACAACCACACAAGTCTACCTTTGTTATTTATTGAACATCAAATGGTCATACTAAATTAAAATTCCATGCAAATTCCTTTAGTAGGTTAAACTGCACAAAAGTGGGTCCCAAAGATATTTTACATAGGTACCTACATAAAATAAGCAAATGCACAAAGGAATATTTTAAGGTGTAGTGTTTCCAATGCATTTTTTCTAAAAGACCCTTAATCAAATTTTCTTTTATTAATTATTTGAATCTCTATGTATTTATATTGTCTAATTTTAAAAAATATGATAACAACGTTTTATGGTTTTACTATCAAATCTACTATTCTAAATAAAATTTCCCTAATAGTTTTAATAAAAACTCGGAACCCAAATGTGCTCAATTCTAGTTTGTAATTAATCAAAAAATCTGTTCCGTCTCAATTTGAAATTCATATGCCAATCATCTTGAATATCCTATTGTTACTAAATCCACCAAGTTTAAAAAAACGCTTATTTCGCTTTTATAAGACTAAAAAACAAGACATAAAAATGTCTTTGTTGTCAAACGGGTTAGTTACTGATTAAATGAGTAGTGAGTATGTCGCCTATTTAATGATACGATTGACGAATTTTCTGAACGATGCCGTCCATTTGGTGCGTGTCAGTTTGTCGCAGTCCGTTTCGTCCAGGCTGGCTTTGGGACAGAACTTCTCCCTTGGGGTGGTGGCGGTGCTCTTGTAGTCCGGACAGATGTCCGAAGAAAACCCGGAGTCGCTACCGCACCCTAAAAGATTTTATAAATTTTAAATTTACACCTTTTATAGTATAACCAGAAAATATATGAAATATACAAAATCAACAACTTTTAAACCCGACTATAGACTATAGACTTGGCTGAAATGTTATAGAAAAAACATGAGCAAAATGTAAGGCTAAAACAAATATCTCAGTCAGCGGTACCGTCAACGGAACCGGACATAAAATTAAATTCTCCAAAGTAAAACAATTGGTGATGGAACCAATAAAAATACCCATTAATACATAGATATTTATAAACATCAAAATAACATAAATATAGATATGAGTTAACTAAGCTATTGTTTTAATTTTCTGTGATTTTTTTCAAATTTTTTTCTTGACTGGAAAAAAATTATGAATTTTTCAGGATTTATCATTTAAGACGGTTTTATTAAATTGTTCCTTTTGAATTAACTTTACAAAAAAATATTTTATCAACTACTACATTGTACATTATGGCTTGTTAGTCAAGGGGTGAAGTTATCAATAGTGGCTTTTGGGCATTTTAGTCACTGGCTAAAGTTAGCTTTATTTTAAATTAGAGAAAAGTGAGGTTAATTCCATTGACATTTGACAGATGTCAAAAAATTGGCTTTAAATTCTTCTATTTGTTCGTCGTAGATAAAGTATATACTATATAGTATGCAATTCGTTTTATAAACTTATCTAGACACTCGTTTTTTATTAAACACTCGCTTGCAAGCTTCCCTCGAGCCTAATAAAACTCGTAACTAAAATGGCGTTTATAAAACTTAATACATAATATACTATTATACAACTTTTTAGGAAAAAAATATTTATTTGCAATTATTTTTTCAGAACACCTTATCTAATTGTTAGATAATTATTGTTAACAATAAAATAAATAATAAGTGGTCGAAATTTTACTTTTTTTTTCTGTATGGGTGCCAAGGTATAAATCTGATATAAATCAATTTGAAATTGCTAATAACCGAAATATGATAAACCCAATCATTTGTTTTTTTATTGATGTAAATTTACAAAAATTTAGCAATTGTACACAATATTGTATTAAATTTTATTACAATGTATATAGGGTTGGGAAATTTTCACTTGAAATTTCACTTGAAATTTTCATGACATTTATGAAATTTATTAAAATTTCCCAAATTTCTGAAATTTCATGTAATTTATTGAACTTTATGAAATTTATTGAAACTTTCAATAAATTTCAATCACCTTAAGTGTAATATATTAATATTGTAATGTATTAATATTGAAATAAACCGACTCGGGGACCATGGCAAATTGCCTCTCTTACCTCCTACCCCTCTGTGGGCCCCTGAACCAATAATATAAATAGTAAATACCTATAGGTATTCTCAAGAAATTTGTGGTAAACATATATGTTTACCACAAATTTCTTGAGATTTCCTTTTAAAATATTTTTAAAATTACTAAAACTAAAAGAGAGAGCACTTTTGGTAAGCTAATGAGATTGTGCCACTTTCATTGTTTTATATTTATATATATTTATTATTTTTAAGTATTTTACTGAAATTTTACGAAAATTGAAGAAACTTCATCAAAATTTTATGAGCCAAAGACATTTTTTATCCGTTTTCCGATGCAATTATAGCAAAAGTAAAAGTTTAAATTAATCATGACTTTTAAAATTTTTTTAAAGTCTTACAAATTAAATTGGTAACTGAATTAAATTATTAAAATTAATTTATGCATATAAGTAACAATAATTACTTATACTAAATCCAAGCCGAACTAAACAAAAACGCCCAGACGCTTGATAACTCGTTCTTATTGGTCGATTCGGAATCTGTTGTAAATTATTATTAAAGGTCCCAGGGGAGGCCGCATGTGAAATTTATGCGAAATTTTCAGTAAATTGCGAAACTTTCAATGAAATTTCTGAAACTTGCACAGGCAATGTTAAAATTTTCGGATTGAAAATTTCATTTGAAATTTTTAAAAATTTCACTTTTCCAACTAAATGAAATAAACTAATCGAATAAAGTTAAGCATATTAAGATATTTTGACCAAAACATAAATTTAACGATATAATTTTATACGCCCTGTATACTTGTATATTTGGTAATAAAAACGTAAAAATGAAAGAATCTTAGACAAAAAAGAACGAAGTCGAAAAAACGCATTTTAGGTATCAGTCGGTATCCAGTTTGATTTCAACTTTGTTCAAAAATATGCTTAACTTTTTTCGATCAGTTTATTTCAAGTTTGAAACTTTCAAAGTTGAAATTTTTATTTGAAAATTTCAACTGTCCCAACCCTAATTGTATATGTATGTATACACATGTTCCTTCATTAGGAAAATAATTGCAAATTTAAATTTAAATAAATTTAATAAATTTTATCTTCAAGCTTTCTGTAATTTAAACTTTATTATTGTCAACACTCACCACCAAAGTGATTGATTATCGCCTAGGCTTTAAAAATAATTTATAATAGTATTTGATTAACATATCAAATCCGGCGTTCCTATTAATACACGCTTTATTTACATAATATGAGTGATATAATATGAAAATTATTATACGCTTGAATATATCACCTTCGAAATAAAAAGTTGTATTACTTTAAATTTAATTTACTCACCTCTAAAACTATTATAATTCGCCTGACTCGAGTACTCGGCCTCGTTGTCGCGCGCCTCTGCGCAGTAATACCGATTCGACGAGGTCTCAGATCCCTCGTCCATGTAGGAGATGCTTAACTCGGCGAGGGGCACGCTGATGGAGGAGCAGCAGTCGCTTCGCGCCGATGCCGCTTCGCTCGCGCACGCGCATCGTTCGTCAACGTGACAAAACCACTCGCTGAGGCTTTCGCCTTCGCCGCCTCTAATCGGAGAGGGCGGCGGACGGATCATATTGCGCATCTCCAGGAACGGGGTCTGAAGGCAGCCGAATAGTTTTTTGCTGAAACGAAAAATAAAACATAAATATCACAAATTGGAATTTATTAAATGTATTTAAATATTTAAGCAATTATAATTAATAATTATTAATATTATAATATACAATGGGTGAGGCTTTCTGAAGGGAACCCTGAATTTAAAGGTTCAAAATTTTTTCCAAAAAAAGTCTCTATAAAGGGGATTTTTTTTTGACTTATTACATCGAAAAATTGGTTGCTGGGCACCTCAAAAGAAGCCTAACTACGTTTGAGCTCTTACTTTTAAGAGTAAAACCCTCCTTATTACAATTTTCCATTTTCACATTAGTCCGATGAAAAACAGTTTGGATCTTACTAACAAATAAATAAGCTAAGCCCAATAAACATTTTGATAGGGAATTGAATGCTCTACAAAAAGGTATCCAATGTTTTTTGTAAGCCTAGCAATTCAACAGATATCTTTGGTCAAAAAACATATATATATATATTTTTTTCAAAATCTTATATTTTGTAGAATGGTTAGGATTTTGGAAATTTGGAAATTAACTGATCTACAAAAAAGGTTTTTTTTAGTTTTTTTGATAAATATAAGCGTTTCAAATATAATCGCAAGTAAAGTTCAACTTATACTTTAACCTTTTTTTAATGACTACCGTAAAATTTTACTTGTCGATTTTAATTAAGTTTGTGTTCTTAATAATTAAAATAAGATTTTCACACTTTTCACATTTTTTCTAAAATTTTATTTCAAAATATTCATTTTTTAGAAAGTGTTCCGGTATTCGAGCCTCTTGTATGAGATACATTTAAAACATTTATTTGTCGTATTAATAATTACCTTGCAACTTTTATACCAATAAATTATTCAGGGGAAAAGTTTAACAAAACCCTCGTCATATTAAGAGCTAGTGTACTTTATATTTATATAAACTTATTATTATTCCGCGCGCTTACATTATCTAAAAAACAAAAGAAACCTTTTTTGGAGATTAATTTCCAAAAAAAATATGTTCTACAGTAGAACTTCTACTCAAGTATTCTGGAAGTTATAAAATTTAAAACAATTCTTTTTCAAAAACTTTTAAATTTTGACCCAAGATATTTTTTGAATGGCTGGGTTTTGTAGAGAACTCAATTCCTTATTAAAATGTTTATTGGGCTAAGCTTTATTTGCATTTGTTAGTGAGATACAAAATGGTTTTCATCGGACTAATGTGAAAACGGTACACTTGACAAAATAAATTTTTGTAGTTATTATTGTGCATTTTTTTTCTTAAAATTTTTCAATAAAATTTAGTATACGGCCGTTTTGAGGGGTGGTGAATCCAGTGCCGTGCTTAGATTTTGTTTAAAAAAATCGCTAATATGAATTCTTAAAAATTTACTCTTAAAAACTGACATAGTAGGCCTTGTATTTTGTACTAATAAAGCGTCTTTTGTTTTACTAAGAAGATTATATTATATATAATTTTCTTACAGATAACCAAAACGACAAAGCATTTTTTTGGAAAACATGATTCACCGCCTACTAGACCAATGGTTCCCTAATTAATTTTATTTCTAAAATTATTTGCAATTTTTTAATTGACTTTTTTTTGCTCGCCATTGAATAAAGGAAATACATTATTCAAAAGTGTTTTAATATTATACCCGGAGACCCTTTTTCCCGATTTTTCCTGTACTTATTTCCCCAGAGAGTTTGAAATAAAATTCAATATGCAATAGTTAAAAATTTTAGGTTTTATCTACATTTTTATCGCATTGTGTTCTATGTATTTCAAAATTGATTTATCACCTTATTACTATTTGCATTTATTCTTGATAAAAAGCACAGGAGTGGTGTTATTGGTTTAATATTAAAATTTTATGAAAAAATATACCTAGGTACTTAAAGTTTCAGATAGTAGGTATTTAATGCTTGGATTCAAAATATCAAAAACCTTTAATTAACATTTTCAAAGATATTTTAAAAATTGTAATAAAAAATCTAGATGCTTTTTTAAAAATATACCTAATTTTTTATTACCTAGTAAGTTTTGAACTAAAATATAATTTAAAAAATTATGGTAATTTATTAGTTTACTACTTTTTGACGCCAAATTTATACGTGCCTACTTAAGAAGTGCCAAGAGGGCAGTATCAATTTAAAAATTTCAAATGGAAAGGGGGGCTTGTGATACCTCATTTAAAAAGTGTTTCGACTCTCTATTTGATGCTAAATTTTTAGAATCAGTTTAACGGTTGCCAAGTAAATTGAGCATTTAAGTTTTTCAAACTAATACATTTTCTTGCCGCCCTATAGGGCAGCTAAATCAAGGTTGATTCAAACTATCAAATATTTTTTCAAGTAAAAAAAAAGAATATTTGATATGTTGAACCACCCTTTAATGAAATAATATTAACTTGACCAATTTTTATGAACGATCAAACTTTTTAAATAAATTTATTCTGTAACTCATTGTTTATTTTAACAGACTCATTTTTTCTCATTTAAAAAAAATATCTAATGTAAATTTTAAATATGAGAAAATTTGACAACACATATATAGAACTCGTTCAAACAGAATAAATAATTTTAAATAATGAATATACCAACTTATAAGCAAATAATAAGCAATAGAGGTTTATTTACATCAATAACAAAAAATTTCATATCAGGGGTACAATATAAAACTCAGCAAACTCCATTTTAAAAATAAAAAATACGCTATTAAACTACTCTTGAAAAAAAAAGAGATGTACCTAGAATATGGGCAATAATATAATGTATGATATTTTTACTTAATAATAACTGAACTCGTATTTTCACGAAAATTTTGATAAATGTGATGGAATTTGCTGATAAAAAATATTGGACTTTGCTGTGTTTGATATAGACCCCTAATATAAACCCGAAACAAGTTTTTAGTATTAAAAATAATTATAGAAAACTAGAAGTTCTCAAATTTTTAAAATTAAAAAATAATATTATTTTAAGAGGAAAAGAATTGAGTTTGGAAGAATAAAGTATCTTTGATTACAAACAAAAAATCATCGACTTTTAGCAATTAATTTCAGAATTAATTTATTTTTAAGAAAGCACTGCTAACAAGTTTAATTGTTTTAAATAATTAATATTATCCTCGGCTGAAGGACTACGGTCAATAGCCTTTGAACTTGGTTTTAGTTCAATAAAGCATTATTATTATTATAATATTATCCATTTTACTATTATTACCCTATTACTATTTGAACTATACTATATCTGAAACATTAAGTGTATTTTTTCATAAAATTTTAATATTAAACCAATAACACTTCTATAATAGGTATTTAATGCTTGAATTTAAAATATCAAAAACCTTTAATTAACATTTTCAAACATATTTTAAAAATTGTAATAAAAAATTTAGATCAAAATGCTTCTTTAAAAATATACACAATTTTTTATTACCTAGTAAGTTTTGAACTAAAATACAATTTAAAAAATTGTGGTAATTTATTAGGTATATTCGAGGGGTCAAACACCCAAAGGGAAAACTTCCAGGGATTCCCATGTATTCCCATTATATTTTATTGCATTCCTATGTATTTCCATTGAATTCCTATGGTATTCCCCCTCTAAAATGTCCAGGGATTCCAAGGTCCTTAGGTATATTTTAGTTGTTTATTGAAATATTTTATATTTTTGAATTTTTTACAATTGAAGTAGTTGCATAGTTTTTTCTGCATTATCCACGGTTTTTTGAAAATTACACATAATATTATAATGTAATAATATTATTAAATGTGTTTTTTCTACAAAAACTATGTTTACACATGTAACATTGTAGTACTAGAGAAAGTTATTCGTAATAAAGAATTTCGTAAGACCGTGTACACTATTTTGTTAATTAATAGAAACCACACACTTTTTGTGAATGGTTTAATTTTTCTTTTTTTTAATAGGGGTTTCTCATGCATTTTTTTTTTATTAAAAAGAATATTAAAAAACAAGCAACACCAAATCTACAATCAAGTTAGATATTTGTTATTTTATATATCTCCACCATTTGGGAAAAACCAGATAAAAAAAAAACAATTTATCAGGACAGCACTTTTAAGTGTTTTATCTTCTGTGTAAATCGAGTTTTTATGATATTTTTTTTTCACCAATTTAATAGCCATTGTTATTTTGACTTTTTTTCTTAAACGTTGCAGATATTTTTGTACATAGAAAAAATATCTATTGTTTTAGGAAGCAAATATTTTTTACAATTCATTACAATATTAAAACTTATGTGCTTGATTAAAATAGATAATAGTTAAAACCACTTAATTTAAGACCCAATAAAACATGATCTATAGAAATATAAGTCCCAGATAAAACTGACAAAATAAAACCAACATTTAAAATAAAACATTTATTACTTATACCACATTTGCTTTTTATCAGTTCATCCAAGCATTAAAAAAGTATAAATATAGTATAGACTGTATAGTATAAAAAATTTAATGTATAAATAAATCAATTTCTCTTGTATAAAACATTAAATATCTAAAAGGCACAAACTCTAAAATATTAATAAACATTGCATAAAAATTTACAAAAATCTGGCACATTTAACAATTAAATTGTTTTATCTTCCATCTCTTGCATCAGTTATTGCACCCCAAAGTTCAATGATCAGATCATCTGTAAACTCAAATGCAGCTAATTCTGAATCATCTATTGCTTCAGCAAAATCTAAGGAATTTGCCTTATCTACTGAATGTTCCCAAATATTTGTGGCCAAATCACAATCATTTATCCCCATGTAAGTCTCTAAAATCGTATTTATTTTCTCAATACCAGCATCCAAAATATCATCTTGCTCCTCTATTTGAGCCTGGCCTCCAGCTTTGAATCTCAAGGTCTCTTTACCGGAACCATACGATTTTTTGCTGCTATACTTTGAATTTTTGGGGGCTATAAGGTTGAAGCCAGACTTCATTGGTTCCACCAAACGTATAGTGAAAGTGGATCCTGTTGGAATGTTTTTAAGTGCTTTGGCCACCTCAAAATGTCTCTTTCCCACCATGTACTCTCCATTCAGCTTTTCTATATGGTCTCCAATCATTATGTGCTCTATGCTGTGTATAACAGAACCCTCTTTAATCCTTTTAATGAATGCGTAACCAGCACCATTGTCTGTGATAGTAAGGCCCAATGAATCTTCTAATTTAACCAGCTCCACTTCTTTGGGTCTGCCTTTTTTGTGGACAAATATAAAGTCTTCCAAACCGATTTGGCCGCCCAATAGTTGTTTCATATCAATTTTGTATGTGTTTAGGGTGCAGAACAAAATTTCCGATACGGGAAACTCGAAAGTTTCCGCTATTTTCTGGTACAACTCTTTCACATTTGAGAAACCAGCAATAAACACTAAGGGACTGCCATGAGCCAACTGACACTGAAACCTGAGGGTCTCTTTTTTCACTGGTGTAACTGGGGCTTGAACACTTTCCACTTTTTTAAGATTGTTGTTTTCGGGCTGCTGATAGTTTTGGGGTTCCTGGGGTTTTTGCCGTTTTTTGAACATTTTAACGAAACTTTAGTCTGTACCGCAATCCAAAAATTAACTAAATCAGTACCTAAACATTATTAACTGATAACGGGTTTAGAATCGGTAGATAAAATGCACTACACAGAAACCACTTGTCGATGAACTGAGTTCATAGCTCTGCAAATGCCTTTGTTTATCTTGGGCTCTTTAACTGTCCGATGTTTTAACTCGACGCACAGTCAGTCAGTTGACCAAATAACTTAATTAATTCGCATACGATTACTCCATAAAACACAGGATTTATTCGACGGAATTTTTAATCAGCTGTGCCACGCAGGTAAAACTCGAATACATGACCTCGCTACACGAACGTGAACCAATCACCATAGTTCCCGTGCGAATCGTATACCATAACGAGATTACCGGCGAACGTTGCCACATTTACTTTCTTTAACACAAACCCACACAACGCTAACGATTAGATAAGTACAGGTGAGATCCACGTAAGATGCGCTATGTACTTATCTCAAAAACTACTTTGTAAGGGCCGAATATTCATGATTTAAAAGATTTTTCTTGTACATAACATTTTAATTTATACAGGGTATTTGGTTTTAACTGGGAACATCGTATATTTTTTTGCATTTTTGGCTCATACACTTTTTTAAATATACTTTATAAATATGGGTGATTAGAGTAGGTATTTTAATATTTTTTGTAAATATTTTAGTATATTACAAAAGATCCAGGTTTTTTTAAACTTGTCCACCCAATTTTAATGTATTTTTTCAAAAGCACGTTTGTAGAAAATATAATAAATATTCAAAACATCAGTACCTTGGCGTGTCACAACTCCTAAATCAAATATTTGAGTGATTTTATTTTAAAATATATTCAATTTAACTTAAGTTTTTCAATTTCACTACAAACTATAAATCATTAAATAATGTATTTTTAATATTTTATCGTAGATTCGAATAATAGCAATTTTTTAAAAATTGGTAATCATTGTACTCACTTTTACCCGTCAGTTCTGTGTCCAATGTTAAAATTCAAAATTCCTGAATTCCCGAAATATTGAAGTTTAAACGTCAAGTCCTCGTTTTAACTAAAGTGATAGTATAAAATTACCTACAGAGCCGCCCTTTGCACGACAGTCATCTTAAAAACAATGCAAGCGGCGAACTTGTGCTAAATGCACGTATAGTTCCAGTCAAAATTTCAGTACTGTGGTGAGTAGTTATTTTCTTACGTATATATATTTCATTGTAATTTATATAAGGCTATATGTAATTTGTTGATAAGTAGCATCCGCTAATAAAAAATATCAGTAAAATACTTAATTCCGAATTATAATCAAATTTGTATCCCATTCATCAGTACCGTGTCGTCAGTTCCATGTTCGATGTTACGGTTATCTTTTTTTCGCAAACTTCAATTTAAATTCTGCTTGCGCAGAACTTGTTTATTTAATGGCATTATAAACTCATATAAATTTGGTGTGGGTCCCATATCTAATAATTGAGATATCGGTATACCCAAAATCCACCAGCCGCCACTGATGTGTGGTATTATTTGATTTTAAGATATTTAATGTATAATATGCTCAATGTTGCAATAAATCTTATATTTTCCAATAAATTATGTATTTAATTAGTACCCTGGTATAGGGGCATTCCACGTTACTCGGTAATTTTTGTCCCGCCCGTCACAATTAAAAATTGTGAGTAAAAACCACAAGTTATAAAATTAATATTTTATAATATTATTTTTATTGTGCTTATAACTTATTAAAAGCATAATAAAACAATATTTTTAAATAAATTTTATAACGTGTAGTATTTACTCACAATTTTTAATTGTGACGGGCGGGACAAAAATCCCCGAGTAACGTGGAATGACCCTATACTCGTCACTTCACTTGCATTCAAATTTAGAAAACACAGATATTTCAGAAACTGTTTGAAAAGTCACTGGCCCGGTCTGGAACAGTATATTTATTATATTATCTATGTTCTCATAACAAAATACTGTTTAATTTTCTCCGAAAACTATATAAACAAAATGTGGTCAAAAGTTGCCCAACTTTTGTAGAATCACACATATACAGGGTGAGTTTTAAGTAGACGCTTTTTTTAACATGGTGTAGAAATCAAATAGGCAAACAAAAGTTGCAAAGAACTTTTTTCATAACTCAAAAATAAGAGAGAAACAGTCTTTCAAATTTTAATTAAATTTTGAGGCCGGTCCTGGCCATTGCCGAAAAAATTTCTCAATAAAATCATCGCTGACAGTAGTCTCATTTTTGTAGGACAACTATCAATTTTTGGAAAAAAGATACTTTTTGACGAATTTATGAAGTTTTTGAAAAAATTGAGATAAATAAGCTAAGAGTTGATATTTTCAAAAAACTTCCGATGTTTTCAGTAAAAATGTAATTTTCTTTATTTTAATAAACTTCGATTTTAATCAGGAAAATATAGTAGTCGATAGAAATATATAAATTTATGTTTTAAAGCTTAAATATTTAATTTTTCAAAACTTTTAAAAACTCCTTGGCCGAATTTAATAAAAACTAAATTTAATTTAGTTAATCCAGACGCAGCATCCTAACTAGATATTTAAAAAACTTTTTGTCTGTTGCATTTTTTCTCTATCTATAATTTTCAAGAAAAAAACAATACCAGTTTATATAAATTTTTCTATCGATTAAAATTTGAGACACCCTGTATACAGTTGTCCTAGGACATATTTTAGGTATAGATATGCTGTCCATATTTCTTCATAAAATCCAAACAAAATTAAAAAAAACTCTTGATGCTGATATTTTACAAGATGCCAACACCACGCGATGGGAGATTACTTTAAGTGTTAAATTACAAAAAAAATACTTTTTTTGTATAGTTGGTGAGCCATTTTCGGAACACTCAGTTTATTACTTATAAAACAATAATAGTTATAAAATTAACATAAAATTAAGGATATCTCAATTAAATTTATTTTTCTTACTACCTCGACTCAAAATACGTTGTTTCGTCCCCGATTTCACGGCAGAAAGTTTACGTTTCTTGCATTGGTCAAGCTATACGCGCACACTCTAATAGCGGGAGTAAAAATTTTTTAGTCGTTAAGCACAATAGAGTAATTGCATCAAAAATGAAAATCCCTAAAAACCTTTTTAATGTAATCTAGAGGTAAAAACACATTGCAAAAATATTTTTTTATATTCCAAAAGTTCAACCCGGCCCCAAAATATCAAATTAAAAAAAAGGTACTTTTCAAACGTTCCGAACTCCCGCCAAATTGCATGACGTCATAAGCTCCAACTGTCAGAAATCAAGATGTCAACAAATAATAAACACCGATAAAGTTTATGTTTAACATGGAAAAGGCGAAACCAAAAATTGGTTGTAAATATTGTTTTGTGCCTTGTTGTACAAATACAACCTGGAAAACTCCTGGGAAAGTTGTCCCTTCAATTATCAAAAGCAAAGTTTATGACCCTACACTGAGAGTAGTTACGGCTCAGCCGTATTTTCTTGGGTTTATTAATATTTAACATACCTATTCAAACCATATACCTAGTAAACGACATTTTATTTTACTTACATTAAAATGATCCTTAAAATGAATAATAAAATGTTGACTGCGGTGACGATGTTTTGATATCGCGCCGAGCTATTTTAATCCACTTTATCCTTATTTTCCCTTTTGGCACGGTGATTAACTTTTTCCCAGGAGTTTTCCAGGTTGTATTTATACAAGGCACAAAACAATATTTACAACCAATTTTTGGTTTCGCGTTTTCCATGTTAAACTTTATCGGTGTTTATTATTTGTTGACATCTTGATTTCTGACAGTTGGAGCTTATGACGTCATGCAATTTGGCGGGAGTTCGGAACGTTTGAAAAGTACCTTTTTTTCAATTTGATATTTTGGACCCGGGTTGAACTTTTGGAATATAAAAAAATATTTTCGCAATGTGTTTTTACCTCTAGATTACAATAAAAAGGTTTTTAGGGATTTTCATTTTTGATGCAATTACTCTATTCAAATTTCGTACTGCCAACATGAGAAACACAAAAATATCACAGTTTTAAACCATAATTTTGCAATTATAACAACAAATAAACAATTTATGTTTTTACTTTTTTACTTTTTATGTTGTTTTAAGTGTTTAATGGTACTTTTATTTGTTATAAAGTAGTAATTTGTTAATTAAAATACAACCTTTTATTTTTACTGTATTGGCACCGCTGAATTACCATGACAACGCTACAGTTTGATTGATTTTGAATGTAAACGTCAGAATTAAATTAAACGTCAGATTTTAATTTTGACACAAGTTTTTTTATATACATTTAATTTTTTCCCGTATTTTCTGCGGGGTAGCAAGAAAAATAGTATACACTACACGGGCAGAAAGTGTGAGAGCCCCGAACTGCGCGCCATGATGCCCTCGGCTTCGCCTCGGGCATCATGGCGCGCAGTGCAGGAATCTCACATTTTCTGCCCTTGTAGTGTAATATACTATTGTAAACATACATCTTATTTAAAAGTAACCTAGTTATTATGCCCAGAATGACGCCTAATTGTTTAATATAACAGTTATATTAATATATTAGCGGGCAAATAATAACTAACATATGACTAATTGCATATTTACATTTATTACAGTTTGTAAATCTCTTCAAATTATGGAAGTTAATAACAGTATTTAAATGGATGCTGTTACTATTTTATTAAACTAACGGCAACGCAGCAAATATTTCGTTGTCAACAACCTACCTGTTAAAATATGACCCCTCCTTGAAATTGAAATATTATTACTTTATTTAATTTGATTTATGATACCTATGCAAAAATTGTATAATAACTGTTTGGGAGGTTCATTGTTTACTTTAAAAACTATAATAATAATAGCGTTGAGTGAAAACCACCTTTTTAATAGGATTAAAAATGCTTATTGGAAAAATCACTTTCATAAAAAAGCCATACAAATTGTAATCCTATCCTAATGCAGGCGGAACCGGAT